TGTACAAGTGGAATATTGATGTTGTGTACGATGCAGTAGGGAATAATGCAAGATGTCCCAAAGTACTGCATTCAACACAGAATTGTCGTAGAAGTCGAATCGAGTTCTGTAAACAAGGGATTTTCCAGAAGATTCCGGGTTCGAATCCTGGGCGGGCTTCCACTTAACGTGACAACGTTGTGCTCCTGACTCTCATTGTGGAGAGAGCGTACTAGTGCATTGATGTAGCTACTGTTGGACATGATAGACGGTGATTGATATTGCTATTGGGGTGTATTTACGGGGGTCTGAAGCAGCTGTGAGTAGATGATAGATGATTGATCCTTTGGGCTTGAGATTGGCGACGACCGTTGGCCTTCGATCGCTCTAATATATCTGCCCGGGACTCGGCAGTCCAGTCAGTCACGTTACGTGTGATACGATGCATGACGTGGAGACGTGGACGGGAATGAATTAATCATCCTGTGCTGTTTTGGTCTGGCTGACAGTCCTTTGGGGTTCATGATTGGCGCTCACGAATGAATCATCATCAGTTCTCTCCTCCAATCGAAATGCTCCGAAACATATGGTTTCGGGGAGAAGCCGCCACGCAAATTTTCGATTGGTCAGATTCTTTGTTCAGAAATATTCAACACTGTTCTTTCAACAGCTGCCAATCGTTAAGTACCTAATTTCAGCAAATTTGTGGTTCTGAAAGACCATAAATGACGTGACAGCTGTCGGAACACTTTTAATGACTCATGTTCCCTTCAGATAACACCTGTGACAAAAAGCAGATGGTAACAGAGTCAAAATGCAGGTACGTCACCAAACTGAAACTCAACATTTCTACAGTATTTCCGGTACAATTGTGAAGGTACAACACCCTGGCTCTGCAGCATGCGGGAACAGCACCTCCAACAACGGCCGCTCACAGCAAACAACAAAACAGGTTTTCAAGAGGGTCCTCCACATTGAAAGATGACAGAGAACCAACGATTGCAAACATTTGCAGCACTATGTGCAGGCCAATCAGACGCTCCAACGGACAAGGCAAGAGATGCTAGTAGTGCTGGGGCTCAAAATGGGGATTCAAAAAACTCCATTGCTTCGGCGCTATCATCTTCTGCTTCATCATCTACAGCACAACAATCACAGCCCGCGCAAGATGCCGGTCGGACATCTCATCCGGCAGTACAGAACGGACAGCAATTGCAAAATATGAGAGGACAGGAATTACAACAGGCGCTTGCCAGAGCGGCGTTGCATGGTGGGACTGTGTCTCCGTCCCTCGCTGCTGCTCAGAGCTTATTCATGCAGGGCGGTTTGTCTACGCAACACATTAACGATGCTGCAGTGACTCAAATGGCATTGCAGCAATATCTTCAACAGGCACAACAGGCACTTTCAAATCAGCAGGCATCCCAGACACTGTCTACAAATGGGGGCGGGAGTCTTCGAGAAAGTCACGCCTTGATGATGGCAGCTTTAACAGGCGGAAAAACGAATCCATTTGGACATGTCACAGGTAAGATCTAATTCGATTGTTTGCAAGAAACAAGGTAGTAGGTAGTAGGCCTGGTGCCATGGGTATTAGTTACACCTCTGTTGTCCGGAGTTTCTGCTACCCAAGGATCGGTTGAATCGGATTCAGGTCACTCGAAATTTTTAGTTATAAACCTCGAGCATGACCTGGTCGTTTTAGCAAACGCACATTCGATTGGCAGGTGGTCGTGTTGGTTTTTTACTTAATGTGCAGCTGCTCTAACCATCTGTTCCTTCTGACCAACAGGAACCGATCTGTTACATGGATCCCAACAGAAGGTGATACCATCTGCTTCGCCATCAAACTTGGAAGCACCTACTGAAGTCGCAAATGCTATTGCGGGTGCAGGCAATGTTGGATCATCGTCAGTTCCAACTAGCATGAAGCCACCACCTCCTCCATCACAAAAGAGCGTTGAAGCGACGCTGAGTACAGCCGGAATACCTAGTATCCTCGGTCAAACTCCTCCCAAAATTGCTCCCATGCCTGGAGCTAAGCCAATTGCAATCAACGAAGGCGGTTCTGAATCGTCAGTACCCTCGGGTTTCGACGATAAGAAACAACAAAAACGTGCTGCGAACCGAAGATCGGCACAACTAAGTCGAAAGAGAAAGAAGCAATACATTGAAGAGTTGAAGGAAGAGAATGATGAATTGCGAAGGAAAGAGCAGATTCTTCGATCTATACCTGATTTGATCGTTGTCTTTGACTCTTCTGGAAAGCTTGGGTTTGTTTCCCCTTCTGTGTCTCGTTTCATTGGCATGTCGCCAGACGAACTCGTCGGCACATCCTTCTGGGATCGACTTTGTGAAAGCAGTGTCCGGCTGCTCAAGTCTGCCTTCATGGATGCACTTGCTGCAAAGAAGTCCGATTCTGATACTTGTCCTCTGGGGTCAGGGGTATGGGATCTGAGACTGGTGGACAAAGAGTCAAATTACACCTTGGTTTCACTCAATGGCGTTGTCCACTTTTCGGGGGAGGCACCTGAATGCGTATGCTGCATTCGTCCTCTTGAACAGCAGCAGCCTGTGCAAAAAATGACCAATGAAGTGAAGAAGCAGCCCACTGCTCGTCCTGTCTCGAGCTGTGATGGATCCAGATCTTCGAACAGCAGCAGGCAGGATGCGTTAGAAATCCGGGCCAATCCCAATCAAAGCGTGATCAGCAGTGACACCACTTCTGCAGATGACTCTGGCATGAACTCAGCGAGAAGGAAGAAACCACGACGGCGAGAAGTCGGACGCGGTGCTGAAGGTGAATCGGTTCGAATCAGCGACGGAGACAGTGTCAGCGGGAGTGACGATGGAATCGTTTCGAATTAAACAAGAACTACTGGCACAAATCCCGTTCTATATTTAACCGGGATGATTTGTAGATAATATACTTTGTATGATATAATCAAGGATGCATATTTTATTCTTTTTCGTTTCCATAATTGGTTTTTATGTTCAATGGAGTATCCTTCTACTTAGGAGTAGAGAAATACCGGAAGAGGGATGGATATATACTTGGAGCTGGGTGATTCATTCACAAAAATAAAATTTACACGGCTTCGTTTCAAATTCCGATGCTATGCATACTACTATCGTGCCAGTTCTGGAGAGTAGCGAGCACAAACCGAAGTACCCTTCGCCACAGAGGATCCACTTTCCCCCCTACCTTGCTGGTCCCTTCATCTCTGCAAAGAATGGGTGCTCCAATGCAGCTTGCGCCGTGATACGGCGGCTTGGGTCGTACTGCAGCATTTTTGTTAGCAAGTCAACTCCTGTGGCATCCAGAGTTGGAACAAGACTAGCAAGCCCACCTCGCGGTGGAGGGTATGGTGGGAATTGGTCTGCTGAGTAATCAGGTAATTCGACAATACCTGGATAATCCGCAGCGGTTGGAGTCCCAAACA